AAATGACTCGACGGCACATAACAACAACAACAACAATCCAAGATTGCAGGAGACAGTGAAATACACAATGACACTTGTTTTAATTACTTACTTGCAAGACAAAAAGATCATTAGGTATCTAGTGAGGATACTGGAGTCAGACATTCTCATTTTTACTTTCATGGCAAGTAGAGAAAAAGAAGGGGAAGGAAGGAAACACAATGGAATCAGATAGAGAATTTAAAAACCATTACTTAAAAAAACACTGTAAATTTAAAATCTGTCAATAGTAAAGAAAACTAAAAAAAAATAAAAGTGAAAGATCTGCATTATTAAGGTCAACAGAAGTTAAGATTTTTATATGAAGAATTTTGTATATATACATAAAGTAGTAAAATAAAAAAATTGTGTTAGACTTTCCAGACACTGTTATTTAAAGCTGTCTATTCAAAACTGTTTACAAAGTAGCCGTGTTAGAGATAAACAAAATGGGAGGTGGGGGAAGATGAGAAAAGATACCCAAATCCAGAATAGCTTTAAAAGGAAGAGATCTTTAAAAGCTAATTTCAATTAGTGTCAGTTATATATTTAAAATGAGAATTCACAGTTAACTGGAATTTCATGAACAGGAACACAGCACAAAGACCAGTATACAGAACGCAGTTCTGGAATCCTAAAACCTAATTTGAGCTCAATGTGGACAAAGACGGTTTTGTTCTCTACCGGGTCAGCATGGCTTACAGCAGAAGGAGCCTAACAGGTATTCAATAATTGTGTTTGTTCAACAAGCAATAGTAAATTAACCATTTCCAGGTTTCAGTTTCACAAGAGAAGAAAGACCAGTGACTTTCTGCTTCATGATAATGAATCAAATACCCCAGAGACTCCAAGTATCTTTATTTTTATCATCATTCAAATAAGTGTACTTACTGGAGTTTCCCTGGTGGGTGTTCCTTCTTGACAGGGACAGAAATCTGTGGTTCTGGTGGAGGGTGAGGCACTGACGGTTTTGCAGGTGGTGGGGGAGGACCTATATCTTTGGGAATTTCAACATTTTTCCAATCTTCTCCTTCTTCAACCATCAAACCAATTAGTGAACCTAGCTGTATATTTTTAGCTCCTTCTTCAACCTATATTTGAAAAAGAAAATGGTAGAGATGGAAAGGCTCAGTATCTGATAAAGTAGTTTATTCCTTCACTGGATGGTTTTACAATGATCAGAAATAATGCTCATTTTGAGATAAAATCTTACAACCAGGCTCTTTCTCCCTCCACTTATACTCTGTGCATTCTATCCCCACACCTAACTTCTTTCACTAGCCTCCCATTTCAGTTTCCAATGGATCCTCCAGTAATCAAGAAGAAAATCTGGAATCTCCTCACTTTCTGAGGGCATTCAAATATATAAGAGCTATCAGAGATGGTAAGAACGGCACAGGACAGGGAAAGCTCCAGATCTACAGTTTATAGAGTCATTACAAGTTATACTCTACTGAACAGCTCCTATCAACATTGATCATTAACATCTTTTTTCCAATGCCAACTGATAAACTGGAAGCAGGATACTGTCGCAGATCTCAACTTTTTGTCTTTCCCGCTGTGGTTGTAGACTAAAAGCTGGCTTTTTTTTTTTTTTTTTTTTTTTTTTTTTTAGCAATTTAGCCTCTGGTCTCCCAGCGACTTTAACTGCAGAAAAGCCTTGCAAATCGGCATCAGCTGTGAGACTAGGATAAGTGAAGGAGTGCTTCCCACAATGAGCAGTAAGACTTGAGGCTAGAAAGACTTGAAGCAAGACTTGAGGTGAGCAAGGCTTGTGGCAGTAAGACCCTGGTGGTGGAGAGACTGTGGCATTGCTGTGGACAAACGGCAAAGTGTGGCCTGAGGCTTCTTGCATCTGTGCTGACCACGGCTGGACTGTTCTTGGCTTTGCTGATGGAAGGAAAAGCAGCTGCTTGCTGAACTGAAATTGGAGCCTGAACTAACTGAGTTGTGCTCTGAAATTGTTGGGCTAAAACGTGGACTCATTTTGGGTGATATTCTTTGCCTCCTCCTCTCTCCAACTTCTTTTCCCAATAAACTCCATTATTGGCACTATAACTGCGAGTCTGTGAGTCAGCAACAAATAAAAGAATTTTTTTGCTGCTGGTGGGTGCCTACAAGTACCATAGGGCTGGGCTATGAGCTCTTTATCTGTTTTCTGGTCTGGGGCAGTGAGGGGTTATACTATTATCACTCCCTATGGCCCTTTCGGAAAGATGCTCATGCCCCTGGGCCCCTATGTACCATTTTCTGCTCTTTAGACACCCATAATGGCCTAGGATTGGAAGCAGGAGTCGTATCCACTTCCTAAACAACATGCCTCCAGAAACTCAATGAACTTTGATAAATGTCAATAGTTGTAGAGGGCTTCAGGCCTTTTGTTCATTGGGTCACTATGAATAGTGCTTGACTCAAAGGCAGTCATCAACAACAACAATGGCTTTGGAAATCAGTATAAAGAAATTCCAAGAGCTCAAAAGGTATTAATTCCTCAAATTAGTCTAATTTACTGAAATTAACTTTAGTAGGTAAAAATCTCTTCAGTAAACTTACTCTACAAAAAAATAACTAAACTTATCCTGTATAATGTAAGGTATAGTTTTCTTTCCCTTTTATACTTCTTTCCCTTTATGTCTATTTACAAAATCTGAGAAATAAAATCTAAAAGTTCAGTACTAGAAGAAAATGCCATTTTCCTTGAAATTTTCTATTATTCTCTTTCCATTATTTTAACTGAAGTTCATTACAGATGTAATTTAATGCATAATTAAGATGACAGGAGACAGGGCGTTCTCTATGGTAATTACAAGTGAAAGCATAACTCCTGGAACGGGTTTGACATTTCCAGTAACTCTAATTTTGATGCTTATTAGTGTGTGCACTGTTCTTAAGATAAAAAAAAAAGCCCAAGTTCTGGGTATTAGGAAACTTTTTTAAGTTTACTAATTACTTATGGAGAACAGACAGCGCTCTGATGACACAAACTGTACATAAGGGATGGTTAAATAAAACTAACTAAGAATGTATAACTAATTTTAAGTGGAAGACCCCAAGAACAAATGTGTAACTAATTTTAAGTGGAAAACATTAAACAATCCAAGAACAGTAATATCCAAGTACAAAGAAACTCACTCATATGAAAAGCATTAATTTACTTTAAAAAAAAATAATTTAAAAAATCCTATAAAGTCTTTCTACACACATACACACAAACACACACTCTTATCAACACATTATGGACACTTTCAAAAGTAGAGGATAATGCATATTTAGAACGTGTCAATTTTTTTAAGATATCTAAATGTCAAATAAAATTCCATTTTATCTAATTTTTTTCATTAAAAAAAATATTACCAAGAAGCATGACCCCAAATTTTATGGAGAAAGACAAGTGAAATACTGCAATATAACTTGGCAACAAGTTAAATGAAAATAGTATCTGCATCATTATTATCCTTTTCCTTTAAAATCACTTACATGAATTTAGGAGAATCCACTTAGCCTTTTCTCTTCCTTTAAAGTGATTTAGTGGTAAGGAGTTGCACTGCCAACCCAAAGGTATGTGGTTCAAGTCCACCAGCTACTCCACAGGAGAAAGCAGGACAATCTTCTCTTCTGCAATTTATAGCCTCTGAAAACCTTCTGGAAGGGCAATTACTATGAGTCAGATCTGACTTGACAGCACACGGTAACACTCCTTTAGTGTAATAAGGTCTTTCAGAGGTATTCTTCTATTCTCCAGATTTTGTAGATAATAATTCAATACCATTAAGGTGGTTCCAACTTGGGGCAACCCTTCATACATTTTGGGGAGGGGTTTTTGGTCATAAATTTTCTTTTTTTAAAATTGTGATTTGAGCTAAAATTTACAAAGCATAATGATTTTTCCATCATTCAGACACATTTTCTTGTATTAACAGTAATTCCCAGAGTATGACCATCCTTAGTGCTGTACTGTCTTTTCCTTTATCTATATTAATAAAGATAATCTATCCCCTATTGTTTATCTGTAGTTCTGATGGTGCACAGAGTCCACAGAAAGTTGGTTAACTCAAAGGCAGTTCAAATACACCAGCAGAAGAGGAATGAGCAATCTCCTCCAGTTAAGATTTCAAGTCATGGAAACCGGATGGCGGGATGCTCTGAGTCGCAACTGATTTGATGGGGTGAGAATTTTACTATCCAGTTATTAATTTTACTGTTCCTTCCCTTTCTACCTATAATTAGTAAACACCCAGAATGATCCTATCTCTGTGTAAACCTTTCTTTAGCTTTTTGTTAACAGTGGTCTTATAAATTTAAATTGGGGGGAGGCGACCCACCTTTTTTCTGAGGAATTTACTGTTAAACTCATTTGAGACACACGGCCTTAGCTCTTTGGAGATTGTGGCATGTTGTTATACATTGAGTTGGAAACAACTGTCAATTGTACTAGACTGCCCACCTTTCTTCTGTGGAGCAGCTAGATTTGAATAGATTTTACATTCTTCTTTGTCATCCTTATTCACTGTGTAACTTTCAGATACACAGCAAATAACTGAAAAGAGCATGGCTTGAATCAGGCACATCTTAGTTTTCAGGGCTTATGTGCCAGGGACATCATGTTATTAATTATCTGATAATTAGTTAAAATAACTTGACAGGTAACGTAAAGCTTATCATGATCCCAAGGATGGTGAAGTTAAAGTCTAGCGTTACAGTCCAATAGAAATTGTTTGATGGAGTTTAATCCATTCACGGTGTTAACTAACCACTGCCATCAAGTAAATTCTGACTCATAGCAACCCTCCATCAGCCTTCCGAGGCCACATATCTTTTACCGAAATCTGCCCATCTTTGTCCAGAAGGCAGTTGGTAATTTGAATTGCTAATCATTTGGTCAACAATGCAATTAGTAATGTACTATACCACCAGAGTTTCTTTTCAAGGGGCTAATAAAACTATGCAAAGCTAAACAATTATCCAAACAGTTTTTTTCTTCTTTAAATCAGAACTATTTGTGACCTTCAAAACAGACAGTGAAAGAGCAGTTAGTGAGGATGACTGACTGATGGTGTGACTGTTGCTGTTTTTTAATACTTTACATGTGAAGGATTGAAATACATTTTCCAAACTGTGCTGTGAATCCTAACTCCTTTATCTGTGGCTACTAAGGAGCTCCAGTTGTGCTGCGTGTTATATGTTGCACTGTCAGCTAAGAGGTCGGCAGATCAAACCCACCAGTCACTTCAAAGGAGAGAAAGATGGACCATCTCTTTCCACTAAGATTTACACAGCTTGAGAACACCAGTGTGTCAACCTGCCACGATTCAGAACTGATCAGACAGCAGCGGGTGGGTTTAACCTGTGGTTATAACCCTAATGGGGAAAGGGTTGTCTTTGTTATGTTAATGATAGATAATGCATAGGGTATCTTTTCAGTCTTCGGAGATATAAGAGGTTAGACAAATATAAGCAAAAAGAAAGTTGCGTAGGACATTATTTTAAAGTCCTAAGGCACAGGGGTGCCAGTTTAGGATTGAAATGTGCCGTGGTATTTTCAATCTCCTCAAATTCATGTAAAGGGAGGATTAACAATCATGAATATATCACAAAGAATTTTTTATTTGAAAATAGTTTTGAAATCTGGTCTATCAATTTGATGAAAGTCCTATCAATGAATTTACTACCAATCAATAAATAAAAATTTCAAAACACTAGGTTTCGTTAATTTAGCATCCAACATCCTTTATGAAGGGCTGGCCCTAGTGGCACAGAGCACTGGGTGATGGCACAGGACAGGCCAGGATTCGGATTTGTTGTTCACAGGGTTACTATGAGTAACTGGCCCAATGGTACCTAAGAACAACAAACCTCCACATCAAGTGAGCTGTTTCCCTCATGGTTTGTGAGTTATTTGAGGATTTGCAGGGGTTACGGAGTGAATCAAACACAAAGACAGGAAAAGAAAGTACTGAGGGGAGGAACTGTGTGTTGTGCCCCCTAAGTTGGAACTGGGCAGACCTTCTAGCAGGTTCACAGAGGTAGGAAATGGCACGGGAAGAGACTGCTCATCATTCTCCTGCAGATCAGCTGATGAATTTGAACCCCT